AATAGGCTTGTAATCGGAGCTTACACCGTCTACAACGACCTTGATGCTTCGATCTGCAAGAAAGTTGGTGATTCAATTGCACAATTCCTCAGGAAGCATTCGAAGACTTCGAGAAGGCTTCGAGAGAATCGCTTTGTGCCAAACCAGATCGAAGGCGTTCGCTAAATTTAAAATGACTGCCAAAGCTTCCCCCTTTGACTCGATCGCCTGCACCCATCGATATGTTAGGTAAACAAGAAGATCACCATGATTTCTTATATTTACGCGAACACTACACATTGAAATAATACTAGTTTTTACGGAATTTATCGCGTATATTTAACTTTTTAAATACCCGACGTTTCGAACGCTTTACAGCACTCATGGTCACGGGCGGGACTGAGATGTTCAACGTCCAGATGTTATAGTTAACCGCGGTTACCATAGATTAAAATTTAACTTTTGTTCCGATCTACACAGTATGAACTTATGGTATCTTGAAGTCTTGCAGTTGTATGCTTGGGTTGGGATTTAATTTTATTTATTATAGGATCCCTAGCAGATGGTAGCACCCAGCCATCTTCTCTATTGAAATTAGGATGTTTGATTTCATCCCTAGCAGATGGTAGCACCCAGCCATCTTCTCTATTGAAATTAGGATGTTTTTTGATTTCAATAGCCTCGCGAATCATCCTTGGAAGGAATCGGTGTTCTTTAGCGAGGATTTGTGGTCTATCAAATCTGCTGTAGTGACGGGGGCGATCCTGTACGTGTTCACAGACTGCAGACTTCCCGAAGCGTCGATTCTACATTTTTACAAGCTTACCTGTTGAAGACTGCATCTCAATTGTAACTAGAAGGCTGGAAGAAAACAACATGCTCGTAGAATATGCAGTATTACTCAGACGCTGGCTTACATCTGGCTACCTATTGTGGAAGGAGGAGTTCTACAAGCAAGTAGATGGTGTGGCGATGGGCTCACCTGTATCTCCCATTGTCGCCGACATATTCATGGAAGACTTTGAGGAGAAAGCCCTGCTTACTTCTCCCATAAATCCAAGATTCTACAAGCGGTACGTAGACGACACTTTCGCAACTCTACGTTTAGATAAAGTAACTGCATTTTTAGATTGGCTACATCTTGAAGCGCGCTTCCATCAAAACATACTTCAAGCCGCTGTAGAAAATTGGTCAGTTTTTACCATCAGTCAAGTGTAATGTCCCTCTGCAAGATGCAGGAGTGTACAAGCCTGATTGTGAATGTGGTCTCTCCTACATAGGACAAACTAAAAGATCAATTAAAACCCGCGTTAAAGAACATATATCTGATGTGAAGAATCGACGCTCCGGGAAGTCTGCAGTCTGTGAACACGTACAGGATCGCCCCCGTCACTACATCAGATTTGATAGACCACAAATCCTTGCTAAAGAACACCGATTACTTCCAAGGATGATTCGCGAGGCTATTGAAATCAAAAAACATCCTAATTTCAATAGAGAAGATGGCTGGGTGCTACCATCTGCTTGGGATCCTATTAATAAATAAAATTTAATCCCAACCCAAGCATACAACTGCAAGACTTCAAGATACCATAAGTTCATACCGTGTAGATCGAAACAAAAGTTAAATTTTAATCTATGGTAACCGCGGTTAACTATGACATCTGGACGTTGAACATCTCAGTCCCGCCCGTAACCATGAGTGCCTAAAAGCGTTCGAAACGTTGGGTATTTAAAAAGTTAAATATACGCGATTAATTCCGTAAAAACTAGTATTATTTCAAGAAGATCACCAGCTGAGCGACCCCGACATAAACTGTACTGGCAGCCACTAATCATCACAATTAATCATCTGGTGTTCCTCAAGGTACCGTATGAGCTGGCTGGACTCCATTATTTTGGAGAACAGAGGGTAATTGTGGTAGACCTGTAGTTAGAGGGTTCTGCTGTCTTTAATGAATTCGGGACTATGCCTAAGGAGTAGGGGTACCGGAAAGACGCGTTAGAACCGGAGCCAAGTCTGGAGCACTCGAATTGTGGTGCCAAGGAAAAGGAGTGCTTTACGTAGTAAGCACTGTGTGAATCGAACGTCAGGCACAGAGTACTCATATCGTGGGATGATCTGCGGTGTGTTCCTCCATCATCGAAAGTTGAATAAGACGCAAAAAGAAAGCCTTAAAGATCGGCTTTCTCTGTTGCGGGGTAGGCCAGTGAGTCGTCCTCCCTGTGCAGAGATGTTAGTAATGACTTACCAAAATTACCTTTAACAGCCTTGGCGAAAGACTAGAATGCACGGTTTCCCAAAGTAAGGCGAACTAGCTTTTCGCCGATTCTGCCAATGTGCTCATACTTCGCCTTGGCATTAAATTGTTTTGAAAGACCTTAAGACGAAGCTATAGTTCTTTTTAAGCTTACTTGTGTTAACATCCGGAGCCACTGAAGCATCAGCTCAGACCTCATAACACTCCTGATTACTGCACATCACATTATACGTCTTACGTTAGCGATCAAACTAAGGTTGAGATCTGCCTCCGATGGGTACCACAGACGATGGAATACATAGTTCCATTTTCTGTAGCACCAAATCAGTGATAGGGTCAGCAACAGCGCTGGGATCATACGGTGAGAAGCAAAACCGCCTTTGTGGAAAGGATGCAAAGAAAGACCGCAATCCGTCCCAATCCGCCAACCTGTAATGCTAAAGACGGAAGCAGCGTGCAGCAAGCAACCGTGAAAGGAGCGTGAGTGGCACCACACTCCGGATCAGACAGTGATGGAAACCTAATATTTGTCAGCATGGGAGGTCAGGAAAAGTTCCAACAGGGAACGTGTATGATCTTCCACACCTGGAATCCGCGTAGGAAAAGTAACTAATTGCGTCAGACTATATGCTAAGGCAAAGTCATAAACAGATCTTCCCGCATGGTTGGTTAAACGTGAACCGGGCCATTCGGGGTGATGGGCGTTAAAACCGCTAAGTATCACGATATCCGCGGATGGGCTCTGTTGTAGAAAGGAATCTGTAGCCACTTCGATATGTTCGTTGAGTTGATCTGTTTCGGCATTGGCTATGGGGGGGCCTATAAAGGCACTCGTAGACGCGCGGATGGTTGTCGCCATCTACGCGGAGCTAAAGGATAGACAATAGGAGGTGTCGAGAACAGATATCCTCTCCGACGTATACGCGCAACTCCAGCCGGAGCACAAAAAGTGTTCTAATTTGTACCCCGGGTAGGACAGGTACAAAGTATCAGCCAGAGAGGACACCTGCGCCTCGGTCAAATAGAGCAAGGTCAGCTTCGCTGCCTCGAGATGGTAGTGGAAGGCGTTAAGTTTCGAGTGAAGTCCCCTGATGTATCAGAAATCCACGGCTAGCGTGGCAGTGGTTGCCCTGGTTTTATCGCTCTTTTTGCCTCATGCAGTGTTAATAGTGAACATGGACTTAACCCCCCCCCCTCCCAGAATAGGTGAGGCAGCCTTAGCATCCACGTTCTGGAAGAGCAGGGTAGCTTGAGCGTGAGTGCTCAGTGAAGGATTCTCCATTACAAGGGGTGCTGGTATCCTCCTGGAGTAGTTTTTTTTTCAATACCGCTATCATGTGACGGATGGGAAGGAGCATCCGGCCACCTACACTAACCAAACGGAACTCAAAAGCAAAGCTTCTACTTCACGCTGGTATTATGTGAAGTCGTAGTACTTCCCCGGTTCGAGTCGGCCCATGCGTGCAACAGCCAAATATGCCGCGTGGCTCTACTACTTTTAAAATTTTACTGTAAAATTTATTAAACAGCGCATCAGACAAGTGTGTTTTTTTATTTTTTACTTATGTATTTATTTGTTCCGACAACATAAAGCTCCATAAAAGCTGTTAGTATCCAAAAAAACATAATGACTATAGTAGTACTAGGTATTTAGTAGTCTGTACGAGCTTCCCAGTTGGCTTAAGACCGTGCTTTGTGGCATTCCTTAGACTTATGTTTAGCAAAGAACTGTAACGAATGAATGAAAAAAATATTCGCTTTACAGACAATCGCCATCCGTCTTCCTTCCTATCATACGAAAGATTCTGTTTCTGTTTTCAAGGACTCTGGTTAATAGGCATGAAGTTTTCTTGCACCAGATCGTATCACAGCCATCTGCCCTCGCCAAAGTAAGTTCAGCCACAGTGAGTGTTCATCAGTATATTTTAATAGAAGGTGACTTTTACGAGTTAATTATGAAAAAATATAATTGCTTTTACTAAACTTCGTACATTATACTGACAACATGATAAGCAAATACCACTGTACTCCACTGTGTTTTTTTTTCTTTCAAGGAAGGAAATAATAGCGTAATAATAAAATGCAATACTCAAAACTTAAGAGATTTAAACATCTTTGCATCAAATGTGTCTTAAGCTGCCAATTATACAAAATATGTGACTAAAATAAATATGAGTATTATCAAATAATGATTGCAAATTAAAAAAAATTGTTACAAGGTTTTTAAGGAAATTAAACTTTAAGAAGTAAAAACCGTCTATACAAAAATTTAAATAAATAAATAAATTTTATTAGTACCGATTTTTTTTAAAATTAGTAGTGTTTATTGATAGTTCAACAAATACTACTAATTTGAAATAAACTTTCAAATTTGTAGTATTTATAAATATATATTGTACACAATTATATTTACTATAATACCCATATAATATATAAATATTAAAAGAGTTGTCAACAAAGAAAACTTTTTAAGCCATTTGACCTCTGTCCTGATCCTGGAAGCGTAAAGCCAAATTATAATAAGTCTGCAGACTTGACCTGAGCTGATAATATACGGTATGGCATTACGGTGCGTTGTACTTGGAATAACATTAGTACGAAACTTCAGGCGTACCTAAAGGCTCGATGGCATACGAAGCTATATATGACCGAGAGGACGCGCGTGCGCATCAAATCGTGTCTGTCGCGCGCCGAGGTGCGTAGTGTGCTGTGTTCTATTGGTCGAATATGCAGTGTGTGTGCTAGTCGACTTAAGGAAACATGGTGAGCTTTTGTTTTATATTTGTATTTATTTAAGTGCAATTCAGTACACTGCAGTTTCACGACACAGACGGAGTTTTAATTGTGGTTTACGCTAATCAATCAGTAATGTTTCATCTGAAACAAGTTACCTACCGCTGTCCATAGTTAAATTTTCCTTAGCCTTAAAATTCTTAGAATCTGATTGACACTATGACCACCTTATTGTACCCAATTACAAAAAAATTCTTACTGGAATCTTTTGTAAAGTAAAAACGTACATTCACAAGTAAATGTACTTGAGATAAACAAAAAGCTACTCCATTAATTCCAGAGTTCCTTACAAGTACAAAAATGGTAAAACGCAAAAAACGCAGTTAATTTTTTAGCTGTTAATTTCGTGGATACATTTGTAATTCATATTAATAACTTTAGGTTGTTAGGAATTCCATCTCAGTCCTCAGAAGTAACAGTGCACCTGTCGCCTTCTGTTTTTATCAGGTGGACTGTAGTTATTTCGTCACCTCAGTTAATTAAAAAAGCTTTTTAATTGGTTGATAACCACTGAATGATTTTCGGGTGTTTAATATATTTTGATATTTTCTTTTTAAACTTGATATAAAAATGTACTGGATGGATTGACCGGGAAAGGATCACGCTCTCACATAATACCTCACTCTCACATAATACATAGTATGGTGAGTGTAGAGAACCAAATACCCTTTTTACTGGAAAAGAGGCACTCTATCTTATTCTTCAGGGGTGAAGACACATCTGCATTTTGATTCTTAATCGAGGATTAATGTACATTTCTATGAACTACAGCATCTGCTTGACATCAGGTGGAGTGCAATGCTCGTTTGTCACCATTAATCTTTAAAAAAAATAGTTACTTTTATGAACGCGGATTTGAGGAACTGTAAAGGTCCTTAAGAAACTATAAAGGTCAGAAGGTCTGATCGTTTAAGATTTGAATAACTACGATTACTATATAGAAGTACCTATCTAAGTGCCCATCTATCGACTTTTGACCCCGCGCAGTCATCGGTAAAGTTACAGAAAACACAAAGGTGTCGTGAAAGTGTTCGTGCCTCAAGAAACTGTTTGTATACGCAATTGCAAACGCTGATCAAACCTACAATTTGCAATCGGTTGGTCTATTATTGCATTATCTTTTAAAGAGTGTGTCCTGTACACAAAAACGTGACTAAGTGAGGTTATAACGAATTAAGTTGCATTAAAAACTTGACCGAGTACAACTTCAAAAAAAATGGTGTAGGTGCGAACCGAAAGGTCCACACGACTAACTTCCTAGTGCAAAGAATAAAAAATATCATACGTTTTAATATTTAAAAAAAATTTCATTCGGCACAAAAAACGACTTGACTGATTTTGCTCAAAATTAAATGAGCTCTAAGTTACATAATTATGTATAAAACTATTTATGTATGAAACTGGTCCCATGTCAATATCACTCTGTGTTCTCGAGATACACGAGGCGAAAATTGAATCCGAAAATACATACATACATACGTACATGTACACACACGGACATCCTCTTAAAAACCATACTATACGACTCTAAAGACCTTGAAACATGGAGATATGTTAAAATTTCCAATTTGCAAAATCGGACCTATTACAATAAAAATCTATGGATTATCTTTTATTAAAGTTCCAATTTAAGAGCATCAATAAACATATATATGTCACTTAGCTGATTCGGTAGCACCATGGCCAAGAGTATATATTCAGAGACATCTCAAACTTAAGCTCAAATTTCACAATGTCAAATTTTAAGTCTAGGCCACGTTTCGTTTCACAAATTTAGACAATGTGAATTTTAAGTTTAAGCTCAAGATTATCTCGCAAGCGAGGTAGTATCAGAAAAACGTGTTTAAACTTCAATTCCATAAATTCCAAATTTAAATCTAGAACATTTAATGTTATTATCAAAATTTGACTCTAAATTATTTAACTCGTATATTTCACAAATTTTAACATTGTGAATTTTAAATTAAATTTTTATTTTAAGCTCGAGTTTGTCTCGGAAGCCTAGGGCAGTGATGAGAAGAGACAAGAGACTATCGCGAATTTCATAAATGTCTAAATTTAAGTCTAGACTGTTAAATATTATTATAAAAAAGTCTAAACCATGTAATGCTTTACAAATTTTAACATTGTAAGTTTTAAGCTTCAGATTGTCTCTCAATCTAAAAGTACTTGTATGCGATGCTGTGAACCGCAAGCTAGAATTTCGTATGGAACATATTTGTTTGGCCTAAAAATATTAACTGTTATTTATAATTGATCGACATTTGTGTATGTAACACGGTTTCACGATACAGAAAAAAAAATCCATTACATATATGGGGCAACTTTTACTAAAAAGGAGGTATAATAAAAATTTAAATTTATAATGACAATGTTCTCTTAACTGCTAAAACATAGAATAACTTCCGATTGGTATAATAAAATGTTTTAATGTGTTTGAAGACATTGAAGACCTGTACTATCCTAAAAACCCCCCCCCAATACTACTATTAAAAAACAAATAGAAAAAAGATGTATATCCATACAAATTATAACAAAATTCTTTTCTGACCTATCCAATCTACATAAAGTCTAATACTTATATACGATTGCAGGATATGTTATTGTGAACATACGTTTCGAATCTATAACCACTTCTAGTGACAATAAGCTATGCCACTGTAAATTAAATAAAATTCTTTACGCATATTTTACGTCGTAGCGCAACGCTGTTGCTATATTATGGTTGCAGCATGAATGGTTCGGCTTGACCTGCAAAGGGCCACGCTCTCTCAGAATACTAGTGTGAAATAGAAGCTGCTGTTTTTCGTATGGTGAGTGTAATGAATCGGAGACCCTTTTTACTTGTAACGAGGCATTTTACCCTAATTCTTAGGAGTTACAACGTATTTATATTTTAGTTCTTAATCGAGATTAGGTGTAATTAATCTATGGGTGGTGAGAGGATTAGCATCCTCTCACCACCGAGTGGATTGTATGCTCGTTTGTCACCTTTATTCTATAAAAATATGATAAAAAATGAGCAGACATTATAAAATATGAACCACTCTAGCTTAGGAGTTAAGCACTCGCCGTTAATTTTACAGTACGTGAACACATCCCGGATTCGATCTCCACTGTTCTCAATGAAATCGTTAATTGCAATTCTAAGTGTTGATTTACTATCTGCTCGGCTTTGTGGGAAAACATCATTAGGAAACATGCATGTCTAAAGAATAAAACATTTTGAGAACATGTGAAGCCGCTAACACGTACTAGGTTTTATTGTATATTCTTTGACGCTTTCAGATATAAGTACTGCGGTATACATTTAGAAAAGAGCTCTGTACTACCACATGGAGTATTGATCACGCCTCGGGTTAATCACCTTGTCCGGCTGAATATCTACCCTTGTCCTTACACGGCCAAACATAAATAGGGCGTAACATTAATCGCATATACTGCGTAGTAGGAAAAACATTCACTACCACATATCGTCCAGTGGGTGTCGTAAGACGTGACAGAGGGAAATAAACCAGGTGATGATTTCTAATATCAACTAGATGTTAAAAGCTGCGGCTGCTAACCCGCCTGTCAAGTGTGGCAACAATGGCAAGTTTTTCACGTGGTAGAATTACACTGCAACTATGCTTTAGTTGTAGTACGAACGAGTCGGCTCGACCGGGGTGGGACCGCGCTCTCACAGAATACCAGCGTAAAATAACAGTTTAAAGCTGCTGTAATTCGTGAGTGTAGAGAATCGGAAACGCATTTTACTAGAAACGAGGCATTCCATCATATTTCTTAGGGATGACAACGCATCTGCATTTTGATTCTAAATCGAAGATAAATTCAGATGTCTACGGGCTACAGCCGGTGGACTTTGTGCTCATTTGTTACCCTTATTCTATATATAAAAAAAGTATCCTTCCTACGAAGCAATGTTTGGGGAGGTTTATATTCAGCAGAAAGCCAAATCCTCTCAGAAGTGAGACGAGGCATGTGTCCAGCAGTGTGACGTATATAAGCTGTAACTTTAACTTTTACGTTCAGCAGTAGACTTTAATATGCTGTAACGATGATGATGAATGATTTCACATAAAATTTAAATAATACAAATTGCACATACGAGTATAAGCACTGTAAGCATCTCTATCTCTAATATTTCTGTGTGGTTTTTAAATTGAATAGCACCCATTTATTCAATTCTAAGGCCAGACGTAAATCATCCTTCTAATTAACTTAATAGTTAATTAAAATTTTGTTAACATAAATTTTTAATATCCGTTAGGGGTCATTAACCGAAGAACTAACGTTATTGAACATAAATCGTAAATATTAATGGAAATGATTTTAATTGAATTGTAATTTAAGCGGTCGTATCTCAAACCTGAATACCACTTGCCACTGACATAAACAAGAAGATTATTATGTCAATTGTAAGCTTATTTAGGTCTGAGGTGCGATCTGTATGATATCACATTTATTTCAATAATGCACTTTGAAACCAAAAGCGATAAAATCACGGCATCTATATGAATAAAAATTATAATATTATTTTATGTTTTAAATAAAGTTTAATAGTTAAGTTATAACCCACACAATAATAATGTCCTACAGACCGAATTTCAGTCACAGCAGCTAGTCCCATCGGAGAAAAGCCCTGCGTGCAGGACGGGATTATAGTGCCCAAGTGTTTGCGCAAGCACAGATGCACTCTGTATGTCCTCTCTCATAGTCATCTAAGTGCCTACTTAAGCACGGTAATCACCGCATACTTCCTAACTCCGGACAACTACTAATAGTACTGCTAGTAGTGCTAATTTCTAGATAGAAAAACCTAATATGATTGATTTTGGCCCAGCTCCAAATTCGAACTCGGGACAACAAGATCAGTAACCGTGCCTACGTCTATTTGATCAACATGTCATAACAGTAATTCTCTTTTTACATATTTTTGTACTATATTTAACTTCCCGACCCTTTCAAAA